ATCGGTGCGTTTTTGTTCAGGGTGCCCTGCTTGGTGTTTTAGCTGGGAAGCCAAAGGGAGCCAGCCCATCTTAGGGGTCCCACATGAGCCAGGGCGACGGGTTCGGCTTGGGGTTCCTTGCTGAGAAAGGGCGTTGTCACCCAACTAGTCAAAGGTAACACCTCTGTAAGCTACACGTTTTGTCGTGAGCATTTTGTTTCCCAGCAACTTAGCATGGAATCCAAATAGTGGTCCCCCCAAAGTGGATTCCACAAAAGCAGGTTGATCTGAAAGGGGGGACCCCCGGCTCCGAGGGACGAACCTAGTTTTCATACTAAATGCTTCTGTTTCTGGCCGCAGTCATGACGCCGTAAATACAGAAACAAGCTTATATTCAAATGGGGATGCCACTTGTACCCAGAGGTCCAGTGCTGGAGACAGTGGACCACTCCTACGCGATTTTCTATTTGGTGTATATCACGTTCATCGTTTTCGCCGCGGCTTGGCTAAGCCTTCTCGCTTCGACTCGGGACACTACCATGTGTTCAGACATATTCACAAGTGCACAAAATGGGGAGCCCCCTTTTGGTTCCAAAAGGAACCAAAATGAAAACCAACCATTCTCGGGCTTCCTCACTTTGAAACAGTCCTAAAAGTTTGTGGAGACAGGTTTCGACAAACGTGGAAGTAACTCCCCACTCCGGGAAACACTGGTACAAATGCATGGCGGAGGAGAGGTGGTGACAGCTTCGGAAAGTGATTGAGCCCAATTTTCGCAGGGGTTGTGCTGGTAAACTTCAGCTTGTTCGTAGGTGTCTTCATTTCAGAGGCCAAAACCTAGGAGCCCCTTGGATTTTAATATGAGCGCCTTGAGCCCCCAAAGGCCCAATTGACATTGAGATGTTACCGTGGATGGACAAAACTCCTGCACCACCTAAGAAACCCTGGAATGAATCTGATTTGCTGGCAAATACCAGCAAGCAATGGTTTCCCATGGTTTCCAAGCGGTGCGAAGCGGATTTCGTCCATCCACAGTAGGGAAAGCTTCGAGACTTTGGACGGGTCGGCCCCATGGAGATGAACGTAGGGCGTCCCAACTGTCACGGACCTGAGCGCCCGTAGGTTTCGGCTCAGGTGAAGGGGACTTTTGCTCGGGGTGGGATCACTTGGGGTTTCCCCAACCACTTGATACAAGGGAATCCCCTCTTGATATGGGGAGGTTAGTCTTTGGGAGGCGGGAGCTTCTTGTTGTATCACAGAGGTGGATTCCATTTCCCACAGCCCTGCTTTTGCTGGTTGGTTTAGAGGATTCTCCTTGAGCAGCTGGATTTTGGGTTATCCTCGCTAGTCCTGAACAAAAATCGGGGGACCTCCAAGCGGTTCATGTCCTTTTGCTTGTCCTTGAATTCCATCCAATGCCAGAACCTTACTCACCTGGAAATACTACATGACCTATAGAAGCTTTTCAGTTGCTCAGTGGTAAGTAGCCTTCTTGCCTTTGTCTTTCATTTTGGTTCCCCGCCATGGTATCGACTCCAAGGGTTGTCCACTCCCACCGTCGATCCATTTGGGGATGCCAGGATGCGGACAAAAAGCAAACATGTCGTGGCTCGAGCACACACTGGAAGAACATTTTGCTCAGCAAGACGAGCCATTTCACTTAGGTGATCCGCGTAATCACGGCAGTGTTTCTGCGCGAGACCTTGGAGGCAGCAAACAACGACGCAGAGCTTATGGCGCCTCCGGACCTGCTTTTTCTCGCGTTCGGCCCCTTTCAAAAACAACAAAAGCGACCCCGGTTTGCAGCGGTTTTCTCAGTGCAGCCATAGGCTGATGGGCTGCCAGGTGTCCCACATGTTTTCCCTTGGATGGTTAGAGTATTCGGATGCCAAACCAGCTCGCCATGAAGGTTCTGCACGGTTCGGATCCTTTTTTCCCATTTTTGTTTTCCGGGACTTGCGTCAGATCCTTTTATGTCCGCCAGAGGGTTCGTGGTTAATCATTTTCGGCTTCCCTGCCAAACCATGCCAAAAACGTACCCTTTTAGAAAGAGACTGCAGATTCCTCTAGACTTCGCCAGGTGCAAGAGCGCATGCGCCAGAAGAAGAGGTACATCAAGAAGCTCGAGGGCCTTTCGGTCTATTTCGGGGTTTCCCCTCGAGATGCCCCCTCAAATAGTTGTTTACGCATCAAACTCAAAGTCAGCTTTTATGGTAGGAAAAATATGGTGCCTTTTAGCAGGACAGCTTGTCTTTCAATTTTCAAAAAGGAGCCTGTGCAACAAACCATCGTGAGTTTTTACGTCTATGGGAATGTGCGCTGTTCGGGCTGTTTTATTTTGGCAGGTCTGTCCGTGATTTCCCTTTGACAGCGCCCCTCCAACCCCCAACCAGTTTTGACTCTTGGCCACTTGGTTCCAATATGAAGTGTGCATGGCACCTTCTGACGTCGACCACTGTCCAGGACAAAAATGTAGAGCCGGTGCCACACCTTTGCAAAATGCAAGGTAGATAGCAACTGTTACACAATCAGTCGATAGGCTGCAAGGTGGTTGGTGGCCCATATAAACTCAAAAAGACTTGAGGCCATGCCAAGGGTGAATAGTTTGAGCTAGGTGGCCTTTCCTCGGACAGTGGCCAAGCCTGTCCTACGCTGGAGCTTCAGATCCCCCACCAGCCAGTGCAACCGTCCGAACAAATTCCAAGGAGCAAAAAAGCAAGAGCACGGCAACACCCAGGCCATCATGGCTTTGAGTCTGCCTGTAGCTTGCGAGTGCATACGAACGTACAGCATCGTGCAAATGTACCCACCCCACGCCAACATGCCAAACTTGCCATTGAAGCTTCGGTTAAACCTCTGTATCTGACTGCAGTGACTGCCGCGAAGTTCTGCGGGTGCTGGAAACATCGCGGCTAGCAGCGGGGCCTAGGGACTGGGCATCAATGGCGCAGTCCGTGAATCCCTTAATCAGGGTTCCTAAAAGGACGTAGACAATTACCTGTTTCAACCCCGGGGGCACCAAGAACGGGAAAGCTCAGAATGCCCGCGCCGAGGCATTTTCGAGGCTATGGATGACAGCGGAGATGGAGTGCTATCTGAGGACGAGATGAGCCTCAGCTCAAAAAGTGCATGGCAGGTTCCTTCGGGGACGACCCGTTTATCCAACCTTAAACTTGTGTTTGAGATCAGGTTGGGGTTGGGGGCCAGGCGCAGTACTTCGGAGGGTTGCAGGCTGAACTGTGTGTCAGGCGCTGCGCTTTGTGGCAGCGCAATCCTTTGCAGGGTCGCGCGTTCCACTTCGCTGTTCAGGCAAGATAGTAGACGGATAGAGGGGGATGATGGACGAGTAGATAGATAGACAAGCAGATTGGTTGACACAAACGTTGTTGGATAGATTGACACGCAGAAGCAGAGAAGGTTTAGTGGCTGGTTGATGCGAGAAGCGAAGGAGAAACATTTAAAAACAATCAGATACGCAAGCCGGCAGATTAGATTGGTAGATGGATAGAGGGACAGAGACAGACCGACAAACAGACAGACCGACAGACAGACAGACAGACAGATAGATAGGTAGACAGACAGATACGTGGATAGACATATAGATAGATAGATAGATAGTTGGATAGATGGAGAGATAGATAAGCAAGTAGATACACGGATAGATACATAGATGCACAGATGCGTAGTTGGCAGACCGATAGGGATAGATTCATGGATCAATGGACCACAGAGTACCACCCAGATAGGTTAGGACTGCATTCGGGTTCTAGTCATGTTCGTGGGTGTCCTTTTTGGTTATTTTGGTGGAAACATAGATGGGTTTCGATTCCTGGTTTACCTGGCGGTTTCATCATCTACCAGGGCCATCTATTCATCTATTTGCCCCAAAGGGACACCTATGGTCAGGTTACTTCTGCCAAGCTCATTGATGGGGTTCCTGGGTTCCAAGCGGCAGCTTGCTTCGAAACTGTTTGTTTCCGCCCGCAGTTTCCGAAGAGAAGTGCGTGAAGAATGGGGAAGTGCAACCTGGGCTTTGGAGCCGTTCCTGGGAAACCCGGGTAGTCTCAATTTCTCCGAAGAGGATCCAGAGCTACAGGTCCAGAAGAGGATCCAGAGCTACAGGTCCAGAAGAGGATCCAGAGCTACAGGTCCAGAAGAGGATCCAGAGCTACAGGTCCAGAAGAGGATCCAGAGCTACAGGTCCAGAAGAGGATCCAGAGCTACAGGTCCAGAACAGAGCTACAGGTCCAGAGAGAGGAGGTCCCAGAGCTACAGGTCCAGAAGAGGATCCAGAGCTACAGGTCCAGAAGAGGATCCAGAGCTACAGGTCCAGAAGAGGATCCAGAGCTACAGGTCCAGAAGAGGATCCAGAGCTACAGGTCCAGAAGAGGATCCAGAGCTACAGGTCCAGAAGAGGATCCAGAGCTACAGGTCCAGAAGAGGATCCAGAGCTACAGGTCCAGAAGAGGATCCAGAGCTACAGGTCCAGAAGAGGATCCAGAGCTACAGGTCCAGAAGAGGATCCAGAGCTACAGGTCCAGAAGAGGATCCAGAGCTACAGGTCCAGAAGAGGATCCAGAGCTACAGGTCCAGAAGAGGATCCAGAGCTACAGGTCCAGAAGAGGATCCAGAGCTACAGGTCCAGAAGAGGATCCAGAGCTACAGGTCCAGAAGAGGATCCAGAGCTACAGGTCCAGAAGAGGATCCAGAGCTACAGGTCCAGAAGAGGATCCAGAGCTACAGGTCCAGAAGAGGATCCAGAGCTACAGGTCCAGAAGGGATCCAGAGCTACAGGTCCAGAAGAGGATCCAGAGCTACAGGTCCAGAAGAGGATCCAGAGCTACAGGTCCAGAAGAGGATCCAGAGCTACAGGTCCAGAAGAGGATCCAGAGCTACAGGTCCAGAAGAGGATCCAGAGCTACCATTTTTGTTCGTCTTTGACTTCTGTTTCTTCTTGCCTTCGGCTTCAAGTCTTTCCCTCCGAAACCCCGAGCCCGAGAGAACCCGAGGACGACGCTGCTGATGGACCCCTGCGTCCAGGCGTATTTGCAGAGTTTGGACCTCGACCTCGCAGAGGGCGAGGCCTTGTTCCAGCTCCTGCAGAACGGCACGGGCCTCGATAGGGAACCCGAGGTCGGGGGTCCATGGCCTGATTTAATTACCCCCCAGGCCTTATGAAGCACTTACAGGCTACCAGGGAGAACCCCACATTTCCCTGTCCCTGTAGATTCCGGGTTATTCTTTAAAGAGGTGCCGGCACAGGACACCATTCGAAGATGTTTTGCCTTTAAAGGTTCACGAAAGTTGGACCCGCCTCAAACGTATTTTGTCTTACCTCTTAAAGACACAAAACGTTTCGTCACTTTTTGGGGGTAACATGGGCTATATGATATATGTCTGTAAAAGATTAACTTCCCCAGGGCTTGGAGTTTTGAGGGGTAAGTTGTGTTATGTTTGGTCGGGAGGCAACAGCTATAAGGAGGCTGGGGGTCCACAGGAAAATTATAACGCGCCCGGCTAGAAACGAGCAAGAACCCGTTGAGGTCTCAAACATGATTCCTTGCATCAGTCCTGTGACTCGTAGTTTGCCCCCCCCCAAAAAAAATACTCCGCAACATGGGCCGCTTGTCGATGGGCCTGAGCGCCCGAGGGGAGGGCAAAGTCACCTATGAAGACTTCATCGATGGGGTGCTGCGGTGCAAAGGCCCGGCACGAGCAATCGATCAGAGCCTCCGGCAGCATGGAGGGTTCACACATGTTCACACCTCGATAGCTACAAATCCAAACCGGACGATTTGGGCATTGCCGGCTTTCATCCTTGGCTTCAAAAGCCCCCCCTTGTGGAGTTCCATGACCACTGTGTTATATATCAAGCAAAAACGGAATTCGGGTAACGATGTTGGCCCCAAAATGGCGGTCTTCACTTGCTTCCCCCTTAGAACCTCGCCAAACAAGGCCACTAAGCCACACACATGCGCCGCACGCACGCACCCACGCAGGCAGGCAGGCACGCGCGCCCACACCCACACCCAGATACAAACATACACACACACAAGTGTTTGAGGGCTAACTTCCAGTTTTTTTGTTTGTCACCGAAATGACCAAAACCCCAAAAGCTGCTCCAGTCCATGAACTCAGGGAGTAAGGGTGTCTTGTTTGGAGTTGGTACCCCCTGCGTGCTTCAGGGAGTTCCAATTTCTGCGAAAAATACTCTTGGAGATGAAGGGTTGCCTTGCTGAAGTGCTTCCAACCCAATCTCCGGATGACAGATGCAACTGGGGAGCACTCCATGAGCCTCAGAGTGGTGAACTGGCGAGGTGGTTGGATTGTTTGGCTCACCCATCTGGTTTCCACAACATGTTCTTCCATTTGCTTAAGCGTATTTTTCATTTTCCCCTGTTGGCTTTACAGGGAATCTATCACTATACTGGATATTTTTTTAATATTTTTTCCAGGGGGCTTAGCAAATGGAGATGTTTGCGGTTCCATTTTCCCTGTTTCGGGGAAGGCTAGAAAAATGGAATTTAACGATCCCCACGCCCCCCTTGCCCTTGAACCAGGGGGGATTTTCCAACGGATGCTCAGGCGGATTCGGCCTTCTTTGAGCCATCCAGCTCGCCCGCATTTGCCTCAAATCCAAAGCTGGCCACATTTCCCCTCGTTTTTTGGACGTCACCTCTTGGGCCAAATTCAATTCACTTTCCTGTTTTGTGGGGGTGACGGTGACCTTTGAAGGGGGAATGTAGTGAGGTTTTTGTGATATTGACCTTTGTGATTTTGACCCACCGTTTCGATGCGATTCGGGAGCCCGTTGCATGAGTAAGGCAAAGGCTAGAGGCGATACCATTGCGGTAGCTTCGGCGCTGATGCTTGAAGACGGCATTTAGTTGTAAACCTGTTATCCACAACCTACAGCCCTTCCTCCGATCCGCACTTGTTCTCGGCAGTGTGCAATTCAGGATATCTCTCCAATGCGATGTGAATCTGCTGAATGACTCCTTGAGGCGGGGCTCTCAAAAGGAGGGCTCGGCCCCATGTTGACCGGATGAATAAAACCCTGCTCATAAATATGGGGGGGGGGGGGCGTTTTGTGTTCCTCTGCAAAAGTGCAAAAGTGATGACCCCCCACTACAACCAGGGACCCCTACTAAAAAAGCGTGGTTAATATTAATCCATCAACATCAAAGTCGGCCCCCTAAAATAGTGGGCTTCCATTGGCTTCTGCAAAATCGAGGTCTGAATAAACAACACAAACCCAAATGCCTGCTTTGCAGATTGCCTTGATTCGCAGCCCAGACTTTCACCTTTGAAAGGGTGCTTGACCATTCCTGCCCTTCTGGCGGCTTCCCTTGGAATTGCCCACGTTAAAAAGGTTCCGTTGTTCTAAGAGGGTCAATGGCAGCAACTGTTCTGGTCAAAAAATCTGCCATGCCGTTGTTTGAGGGATGTATAAATGTCCCTCCTTGATTGTCAGAAGGCTCCTAGCCGTCACCGATCCGCTTGAAGATCCGAAGGCGTAGGGTTGGCAAGTGCGCGCCTTCCTATTTTGGGGCCATGTGCCCCCAGGAGAACTTGGTGTTGGCTTGGCAGGGGTTCCAAAGTCGACTTCCTGACCAAGTTCTTAAACTGCAGTCGCCAGTTTGAGACTGCCCGGGTTCACTGGGAGGACGTAGTGGCTGTGTCAAGGAAAGCTACCTGTTGCGGGACAAGTGTTGTTCCCCTCCCCGTGTTTCTGTAGGCAACTTGTGGCCTTCCTTTGGAGGAAGCTGCGGGTTAACAGGGTTGTAACTTACGCTGTGGATGGACGAAATCCTGCCCCACCAAAAAACCCTGGAATGAAAACTTGCCTACAAGCCACCATTGGTCTCTCATGGTTTTCAAGTGCTGCAGGATTGCGTCGTGTCCATCCACTCATGACCGATTCTTGAAAATACGGCCATGTTCCTGGGTGACTCGTTTTACGAGGATGGAGGCCGAAACGGCCGGCCAGAATTTTGTGTGGGCACCCGGTTTTAGAACCAAAAGGGAACAACCACCAGGGGAACAGTAGACTAGGGAACAAGGGAACCCCTGTGAGATGCCAGGAAGTTGGGTGGACGTGATTGGTTCACTTAAAGGATTTTGGGAATGAACCGTACCACGCAAAACAATAATAAGAGATTGTGAGATCCAAAGCCATCCCTGCAAGATACACCCCTACCCAATTAATCTCGAACCCAAACCACCATTTCTAGCAGGAACTCCTTTTGTGGGGGCCTCCTTTTTAGGTTCCTTCCATTCATTTTTCAAGGATGTCCTCGAAATCAATGTGGGTCCTTCTTTTGGTGTGCCAAGGGGCTGCCAGCTGACTGGTCACATGTGGGCGAAACCGAGGTTGGGGACTCCGAATCCCATTTTGAGACGATGGCCCAATTCTCCTGAAAAACGTCCTGAAAGCAAGTACCGGCTGCCGAACAGGCAGTCAGGAAGCCTCAAAATTCCCACCCGTTCAACGGGGTGTCTTTTTTGACTGGGTTGGAGAAAACACACACTTCATTGGGGTCCAACTCCCAATTTGGGTGTGTCGTGTTTGGGAGGACCCAAAGGGGGCAACATCCATTTTGGGGGTCCTCCTACTAAGACTTATATTCTTGTTGAACCACACGATTCTTCCCTCCAAAGCAAAACCAAAAATGTGAAACAAGGTCGGCGTATGTAGGTGAGCCTTAGAAGGCAGATGTCCTTCAAAGCGAAAAGGGAAAATCACGAATTGAAGTCCTTGTTCGTGGTTGATGGTTGGCATGTTTCCCCTTTTTTACGGGTCGCATGTCCAAAAAAAGTACGGTGATTTGAGTGGTTCGTATTTGTCGTGTTTCCTGGAGAATTTGCACTGGATTCTTGGCCCCCATTTTATTCAGTTATGCCAGTTTTTTTTGTTTGTTTTTTTTTTTTTTTTTTTTTTTTTTTTTTTTTTTTTTTTTTTTTTTTTTTTTTTTATCACCGACCATACAAACTTCAAGTCAACATCCAGGGGTTTGAGCCAGGTCGAGTTGCAGAGAAGCTGCCTCCCTGTGTGTTTCCTTTGTTTTGTCACATGGGGAGAGGCTCAGAGTTCCTTTGGCTTCGGTGGCGCCAAAGCCGGCGGATTCCGGCGCCAAAACATCTCCGGCGCCTTCCGTCGGGGGCCGTTTTACGTCAGTTACGTCAACGGCCAGGCAGCTGACCACGGCGCTGGAGGACGGCAACGTGATCCGGCGCCGCAAGGAGTCGAAGCGGCGCCGGAAGCGCCGGGTCCAGGAGCAGTTCACGCCGCTGGGCCCGAAGCGCTCGCAGCGGTCCGGGGAAGGGAGTGGGGGGAGTTGTTTTTTTTTTTTTTTTTGGGGGGGGGGAAAGGTTCCCTAAGGCGTTTTTTAAGGAACCCTGGAAGGAACCCCTGAAAGGACCCTAGGGAACTCTTAGACAACTCTAGAAAACCCTAAAGAAATCTAGGGGGAACCTGAAGGAATCATAAGGAAGTCGGAGGAAGCCCACAGAATGCTAAGGCTTCCATAAGGCTGCCCAAGGAACCGTAGGGAACCCCAAGACGTCCTAAGGCTTAAGGAAAGCTAGGGAATCCTCGCATGTTTGTTGGGGCTCCGGAGGATTTGGTATTGAAGGGATGCTTTTCGGGTGTATCTTTTGGCTGCTTCATTCAACGAGAGAAAGGACGCGGCCCACCTATTCCCCCCCCCCCCCGCTTGCGCGACAAACTCAAGTGGTTCCGGGTGGTTGTGATTTTTTTCCAGTCGGTTTCTGCCGGTTTCTGCGTAACAATACTTTATCTGTTTCGCGGCGCCCGGAAAAAAAGCTGACACTCTGGAAGGTAGCGTCCAGTTTTTGACCCCCAGACGCAAGCGAAGCTTGAGCCCTCTATGGACTATCTCGGGAGCTCGCAACAGACTCACTAAGGTTGCGGAGGCAAACATCATTGTCAGGCTACATGGTGGGCAAGTAGCGAATACGTGCTGGTGCTCAGCAGGGAATAAGAATTGGAATGAGCCCTATAAACTATGTTTTCCCAAGGGAATCCCCTGGTTCATTCCATTTCCGATTTCCTATCGCACCAGCAAGAAGAGTAGTGACTTGGCGAATAAAAGAGACCGAAATTGCCCTGACGGCAGCCTCGGCAAGGCCAAGTATTTCCACGCGTCCTGCCTGAACCTTTCGCTTTTCGGTCAAGTTAGTTGTGCTTGTTGCTTTTGGAATCGAAGGACCATGGCCTGGATACATTTCAATCCGACTTGTTTAAGGATGGGAAGTGAGTCCTGCGGGTCCCACTTTCGGGTGGCATCACATGTTCCAGAACATGCTGGAAGATTGGCATATCTGGGTTTGTTTGGGGGTGTCGGTTTCCCAAGAAAGATAAAGGAACACGAGATCCCAGACATTCATTGACAACGGCCCGGGCAAAAATCGCAAAGGCTTCCCCTATTGTAAAGAACGCCAAGACATCGCGGAAAGAAGCGAAATATGTCTACACGCTGCTGGGGTGCAGTCCCTTGTGCACCAACCGTGCACCTGTCACGAACAGATTCAGGCAGGGAGAAGCTTGGAAGATCATTTTCCATGAAATCAGCACTCCATGCGAGCTGCGCCAGCGTTCCCAAATTGGCAGGAAAACAGGTCAACTTGATGGGGGGATGTCAACAAAAGTAACCGTGTTCCTTTCAGGAACGACCTGTTGCCTTATCCCAGGTCCGGTCAGTTTCACCCCTTTTTTCTGTTTCAGGTTTCTGGCTGCCAACCATACCAAGAGTTAGCTGCCACTTCATAACCAGCTCAGAATGATCCTGTCCCTTTAATGATAGATGTCCCCCCCACTCAAATGAAAGCATTCTTTGGACCAAGGTCAACTATATTTATTATTTGGTGCATTTATTACTATGGGCAAGGGAGGAGTTGTTCCCCTTGTTCATACCGCTTCCTTGACCCCTCTCCATGAGCATTTGTCCCTTGGAGAGGATTTGCTATGAAACCATCCCACGGAGTACTTCAATCAGAGTTACGTGTAAGCGTCCCTGCGAAGATTTTCGGTTGGAAATGCATTTTAGCTTTCAGACGGGGTACGCATCCGGACTCTTGGACACTCCGGACAGAAGTCAGTCCGGGTCATGTAGACATCAACAGTTACTTGACGGCTATTGGGTTGGATCTTTAGACTTTAACTTTTTGGGAGATCAAGGCGTTTTCCGCTAAACCTCCAAAAGGTTAAACCTTTTGCCGGGGGGTCAGAAGCAACCAAGGTTAGGCTGTAAGGATAAGTTTGCCAAACCGGGAGATTTATATCGTGACATGGCTTTGGAGTTAGGCCTTAAGCTTTCCACTGAGTCGTTTTTGCTTGGATGTTTTTTGAACTAGTAGGATTGGCAGGCAGACTGAACGGTTTGGGTGCTGTTTCCAAGGCCTTTGTCCAGATCGTCATTGTCAGATCCCCATTGACCTTTGCTTTGGAAACGCATGACTCAGTTACACCAACTCCTTCAAATTATATTAGTTTCCGTTTGGGCTAAATCAGCTGCCCATTCCCCAGACAAGTTTTCAGAGGATCACCTCTGAAATGGGACACCGCGATCAATATCTAGGCGTTGATTCCTTCCACCTGCTGAAATCAATGCATTTTTGTGATTTTCCCTTTTTAGTTGTAAAGGGAATCTATCATACTGGAAATAGTTTCTCATTTGTTCCAGCGAGCTTAAGCAAATGGAAGCTTAGTCCTCAGCTTCCATGTTGAAAACCCTTTTAGCTCCCGCACAATTGCTTAAACCCACAACCATGAACGCCTTGGATTTCCCGCACGTTTTTCTGCCGTGCCGCGCGCAAAGGCGGCCCCCTTGGGCCCACAACGGAACACTGAAAGCGATATGAATTTCATCGGGAACCTGCCTCAATTATGGTTAGCATGTTGAAACAAACTCCCAACAGCGTCGGTTTTTAATATGTTTGGCATATGCGAGTTTTAGTACGGTCTTTGCTTGGTTGCTTCTTTTTGCCAATTGTTGGTTTACACAAGATGTGTTTTGTTTAATACCGGACCGTGTTCAAACTGCCTCAATAACCTACCAATTTGATCTTTTGGCGGTCCTGATAAAGGCTGCCAAGGGGCGGTTGTTTAAGCATGTTGCCAGCTCTGACAATGAGCAGAACTGAACCCATTCCAATACGTTGAAGACTATCGTTGGCGTTTTCTGTTTCAATCAGGCTTCATCAAAATGCCAATGAGACAATGGTTGGTCTTCAATGTTCTTGGCCAGCGCTTCAGCTGTCTTTTTGGTTCTGCAGAATTTAGGGGGTGCTTGTGAACCAGCACACGCTGGAAGTGGATTCAGCCTATGTTTTGGTTCAGTGGATTCCCGGCACTCTTTTGTGCAGTTTTCTGAGGCCTGACAGGATTTCTAAGTGGATGTCCTGTTCCTGTGGATTCCCCTTTTTATATTTCAGGCCAAGCTGAATATGATATAGAATTAGAAGTTTGCTGGGCAATTATGACGAGCTCACCCAGACGGAGGGATTCCATTGTTCTTCTTCTTTTGCTTCTTATTTCCAGTTGGGGAACTAGTGTATCAGGTCCAGGCAACACGCTAAACAATGCAATTCAGCAAAAGGGTTCCCTTCATTTCACCAACGTGGGTTGTGGATGGGGACCTGGTTCTGGAAGGAATTCTATGGGTCCTGGAGGTAGCTTTATAAGTTTCTATCATGGCGTCTAGCCCCAAACTGAAGAGTACCCAGGTAAATTGGATAGACATTAGACAAGCTGGACTTCAAACTGTTTGGGAAGATCCTTGTGCTAAACAAGAAGTTCCTGGATAGGCCAGAAGCCACCCGTGAAATTCATATCGGGGCCGTGTCTAAGACAAGGCTCTCCAATACTGCGGGCCGCTCCGGCTGAACACAGCCCCTTGTGGCACATGGCGAGACTATGAGACCAGTAAAGGCACGCAGAGATGTCGGATCCTGTCTTTTTCCTCTTTTTTGTTGTTGTTTTTTTTTTGCGGGGTGCCAGCAGTGCTCAGCTCCATGCTCAGGAATGTGGGTGTGGGCTTGGGCACCAAAGCGCAGGCTTAAGCCCTCGGTTCCATGTTTACCGTCTCTCAAATGTGGGGTACCCATGTTTGGTCCACACCCACGTGGCTTTCGGCTTAGGACAATGTGAGTCGTTTCAAGCAAAGACGTCCCCCGGTGACGCCCCAAAAGGGACGCCCAGGACTCAGATTTTTGAGGCGTCCTTCGACCGATTTTGAACCAACCGGAGAACCGAAGAGGGAAGTGTCAGGTGCCCCAGTTCTGAAGGCCCTCTCAGGATGTTTTTTTCTTGCAACAGAAAGAAACCTTCAGGTTGATCGAACATTGGGGTTGGACAGTGCGGGGGTGCGGAAAGGGAGCGTCCCCCTGAAGATTTGCAGCGTGTCTTTTTGCGCAAAAATCAGCTAGGCTTCACCCATTTGGCTTTTGGCATTCTGTTTCTGGCCGCTTTCTCGCCGTGAGTGACTGCAGCTATGCCGGGCAATCTTCCTTGTGCGTGATGCGATGCTAGTGATGCTCGTTGGTGAGTCTAGTGATGCCTGGGGCGCCTCTTTGTGGGCAGTGCTGCTGGTGCTGGTGCTCTCGTTGCCATCGTTTTGGGCATCCTAGATGGGTGGCGCGTTGCTTCTCGCACGTCGGGTGATCCTCCGTGTTCTTGAAAGCGAGCCTCTAAGCAAGTCCAACATGAGATCCAACTGTAGTACAGTCGGCTGCTCATATAAAGCCCTTGAGGCTATTTGTGAGGGTGTTGTTTGGTTGAAAAGTGAACGGAACCAGAACGACGCTCCCATCCTTTCCTTCTCGGGTTTCTTGAAGTACTTCGCTTTTACCCGAGTGAGCGAAACCAATTTGCCAAGAAGCATGCGGACAGGCAACCATTCTAGAACCATGGGTGCCAGGGCCCTGCGATTTCTCCGGTGAACTCGTTGTATCTTCCAGGGTGTTTGGGGGTGGACATCCTATCAACCGTTTGTTTTGACAGACCCCTTGCTCAAATACAAGGGCAGCTTCGCCAGAAAGAGGGGGCACCTGAGATCTCTGAATTGAAAGCTCGGACAGCTTGAGTCTTGTGTTCTTTTCCCTCCGGTCGGCGGGGAGACCGGCAAGGCGAAACCAACCAGAGAGGGCTAGCTTTTCTACGTCTACAGAGTGGCATTCACCAAGCAAACAAACTTTGGGATGTTGCTTTACGCCCGGCATTTTCTCTTGCAGATGGGCATGCCCCAAGTGACAAGAGCTGCGCATGTAATGTCCGGAAAACCTGTTTGAGCCCCGGCTCGCGGGTCTCACAGCCCGAGTGACCGCGACCACGCGGCCACAATGGTTATGCGCGGGAGAGAAAGCGATTTGGCCAGCTGTGCGAGGGTGCCTGCATGGGTCATTTGTCATTTGTGAAATTTGGGCAAAGGCCAACAAGTTGAGCCTTCAGGCAAATAAAGCCTCAAGAAGCCTAAAACCAAATGATGCCAAATTTAGTCGGCCACTGCAAACGAGGCCAAATGGTCGTTGGGTCCCTGTCAGGAGAAAGAGCCGCAGCCAAAAGCCGCCCAAAAGGAGCCGGAGCGAGGCATGGCGAATTGGGGGTTCTTTCCAGGTCCTTTGGGCAACTGCGGGTTGTTTTTTTGGACACCGCACGAAGCCAATGTGGGTATGGGTCAAAATTAAACCACCAAGGGACAGGAGTAATCCATGTTTCCATTTACCAGGGTTGGGGTTACCCTATTTTTGACCCACCGCCATGTGAAAAACGAAGAGAAAAATGGGGGCCATTGACACGGGCGCATAAGAACAAGGGACACCAGGACCTGACCCAAGGCCAGGCATATTGTTCCTTGAGGGAAAAATCAAAAAATGAGTCGTCCCCCGCGCCGTCTGTCGACCACTGTACCACAGCATAGAAGGACCCAGGTCCGACCCCTCATTGTGGGGAGCTTGGGTTTTCGTTCAGTATTTCCCACAAGAGGCCATCACTCATATGTG